AAAAGACTGTCCTACATGATCATTTCTACACATGTAGGAACTGTTTCTATTGATTGTCTTACCTTTGTACAATTGATTAACTTTGCAGTGGGAACTGTCTGTGAATATCTGGGACAACCAGATTCTCCACCCAGGATGTTAATCGACATGCTTAAGCATACAAATTGCTCTAGGCACAGCAGGGTCTGCCTGGGAAATCACAAGAACTCTCTGAAATTCCCACTGGGACAGCTCCTGTAACCATCTGTCAAATTCTTCTTCTGCAGATGGCCAGCAGTTCAATCAATCACCGAGTTTCCACTTGGTCTGCTGTCTCAAAGCTGCCCTTTATCTCATCTATGCAGACAACATGCCTGGGAGTTCCTGAAGCACTCTGGGAATTTAAGCATACAGAGGCACATCCCTGAGACCCAGCTACTCTATAATTATAATTAAAGAAGTAAACTTTTTTTCTGCTTAAATCTCAGAGCCCTTGCCTGTCCATCTGTCCAAATGGTGTCAACATCTGACCTAGGGAACTGCCTTCACAGTTCAGATGGAGATGGCTATGAAGTGATTCATCCCATGCTTAAGTAAATGCCTAAAGTTAAGTGGTACACATTATCCCAGCTTGGTTCTGCTCTCTGGATCAGACCACTGATTTGGACCGAGTGTGCACACTACAGCAACATTTCTGATATGAAATCATCTAATGCAGTCAGATTTGTGGACTATTGTTTCTGGGAACAGTAAAAGTTGGAATATTGTCCATACAGCCAAAAAGAATGGAACTTTTCACATTCCACTTTCAGGTCAAATGCTCATCTACTATAACAACTTATTCACCATGCCTTTAAGTTCGTAGACGAGTTGCAGCACATTCATGGGCTAAGCTATTTAAAGGAGATGGCTTTTCTGCTGTATCAGTGATGAAGAGACTATGTTTATTTGAGCCATCAAATAAACTCTGCTCAAAGCAGAGCAGGCAACTGCTCATTCTACCTTCTGCAACCCTCAGTGCAGGCAACTGCTCATTCTACCTTCTGCTTCCCTCAGCTCACCTGATGTTGTCATCAGTCTGTCAGACAACATCTGGGAAAACAAGCACACTTCATCTGTATTCCACCCATCACACATACATTACTGCTTTATCAGCTGTTCCTTCTGCTCTGGGCCAGTGCAGATCGCAATGGGTTTAATGCCTGTACCTCCTTGTGAATGAACTGACACGAGATTCCATGCTGAAAAATGAAGTGTAGAAGTCAAGTGCTCATGCTACACATCCTCAATAGTTTGTTCTGGAGTTTCTGCATGTAAGACTGAACTGAAAAAAAACATAATATCCTGCAGCCTGATATTGGCAAGACACAACTGTAGTAGGTCTTTTAGATCAGTGTCTCACAGACATATTTTTTCTTTTGTTTAATGTTCAAAGAAGACCATTTTCAGTTTCCAGTTGTTTTGTAGGATGCAGTGCTATGATAGATACATCCACTGCACTGAGACCAAAGCTGAATAACATGACAAAAGTGATCATATAAAAGTGAATTTACATTCCCAAGTAACTTTCTTGTTTGTAGTCACAGCCATATGTGACCACATAAATTTGGAAGAGTTATGTGTGAGCCATACTGAGTAGAACAAGAATGAAGTCTGCAGCTATGGAATAGTTCAATTACTAGCACCATTAGCAGCTGCTTACACTTTCAAGGATGCTTATTGGTGATTACTAACTGCATGCAGGAAGTTAAGTTAATGGGAAATCTGAACAGCTTCTAAGTTGAGGAAGAGCTTCTTCCTTGTGGTTATTGGCAAGGCAATAAGAAAACAGGTCAAGTTACGTTGGGGAACGTTACAAGCATCTCAGTAGAACTGGATTTTAAAATCATCACACTAAATGGTTTAAAGAAATATATCCAGTAAGTTCCCATCTCCACTGTCTGAGCCTTTTCCTGGAAATGCAGTTATCTTGGCTCAGCTCTACAGTCAAGTCTACTCCTTCTCTGCCTCATCCTCTATCATGTGCCTCAAGCAAAGATGCAACTTTCTCTGGCCATTCTGGCCAGTGCTCCACCACTCTTCCAAGCAGGCTGCTGTAAGTTTGGCAGCACCTGCTGCCAGGGAAAGAATGAACACAGGCTCTTTGTGGTGCAACATGAACATCAACATCTCTGTCACCTTGCAAAAGGAAAAAATTAGTCTTCTCTAAATTTTAAAAGCAACATGCTTAATTCACAGCAGCAAAGTAGATATGTTGCTTTTGTGGCCCTAGAAATTCTGAGATAATTGGTGGCATGTTGCCTTCCCTTTCTTGCAACAAAGCATTCAGTTTTCCTCTGAAACCTGAGAGAAAACAACAGCTACAGCTGAGCCCGATTTTCTACACCTTTCTTCAGGACACTGGTTTTTCTAAGCTAAACAGCACTTATTTTCAGAACTGCGGGGTATGTTAAGAAACATTGCCAAATATTTTAATCTCCAAATTCTGCCTTGTAAAAAATTAATAGGCTAGTGGAAACTGTTGCTTGAATTCTAAATAGCTGCTTGCAAACAAAAAAGCATCCATACTATTTATGAAGGATCTAATATTATGTGCTCCCTTCCAGTGTTTGAGCAGGAGCAGAAACAGAAGCAGGAGCAGAAGCAAGACTTTACCCAGGACTCAAGGGCTTAAGCTAACAGGCCAGCTCCTGCTGCATTGGAAGGAAGAGGCTAGAAGCTCATACATATCCAATGGGAAAAAAACAAACATGAAACGAAATGTTTTCTGTAGCAGCTAAAATGTATTCCAAAATACTTGAACATTGGTGAATGAAAGCTAAGCAGAAAATTCTCAGGCCATTGTTCAGCCTAAAACCTTTTAAATGACAGGAATTGGTATTGATTACAGGTTTAAAAAAGAACTATGGAAGGATCATCTAAACTGAAACAGTATAAACTGTAACACTGGACTATGGAAGGATCATCTAAACTGAAACATAGTATAAACTGTAACACTGGGTTCATAGATCACTTTAGAGAAAGACAGACTTTGTAGTAAATATTTCAGCATCAGCTCTATGTTTTGCTAACACCAGGCAGCATAATGTAGTTCCCGAGAGTACAGGTGAAATACATGAACCCAAACCAATCATTAAATCCCCTCTAGAGGCTATGTAGGAAACAAGTGAGATGAGCTCCTACAGCTGTCTGTAAACAGCTCCCCTGTCTTTGCTAAAACTTGCAGAAGGATCTGGATATGAGCCAGCATCATACCCAGCTTTTTCAGACACCGTTTATATTTACAACTCTTTGCTCTCTTTTGGCAGTGTCTGGCACATTCACCTATGCTGAGTACTATATACAGCATTTTTTGGCTACTGAAATCAGGGAATTTGCTTGGAATGCAGTATGATGAGCTCTGAACAAGAATAGCAAACCTGGAAAGATACCTGCACCCAGTAAGAAAGTGGTCCTCAACTTAAAGCCTATGGGTGATACACAAGACAGTCTAGTGTTGATTTAGGCCACCAGTCATATAAAAATTAAGGTTGAGTGAAGAGGGAGGGACAGAACAAGAAATTGCTTTCTAGTCTCGTATCTGCAGTGTTTTGCCTATAAATCAGTAAGCTGGGGATCACTCTCTTGGTTATTATTTACTTAACTAGATTGGACCATACCCAAATGACCAGAAGGGAAATACTAAGAGGTCTGTCTTCCCCAGCTGAGAGGCTAATTAAAAACCCTTCAATTTGCAGAAAAGCACATGTAACACAGACATGGACAAGATTTACAAGAACAAACCTCCTTCTTGCTATGAATCTATAAAGAACAGAAGGGAGATCTCTGGCTAATGAGGTTAATATCAGCTTAGAGCTTCATATAGAAGAACCAATAAAAATAAAGCTAGCTAGAAACCAAGTATTTTTCTTGAGGATCATTTTCTCACTTTTCCATCTCTTTCTAAAACTTTTTGTACTCAGGATTCTACAACATGGTGTGGTTTGAATTTACCCCTTACATAGTAGATCTCAGGATTCTACAACATGGTGTGGTTTGAATTTACCTCTTACTTAGTAGAGCAACTTGCTAAATTTAGTTCTTTCCTTGTTTCAGGGTGCTATTCAGAACAGTCTGATAAGTCATACAAATTACTGCCACCAACTCCAAATGCAAAAATCTGAATACATCACTCTGCCTTCACAGGTAAAACTCATGCAGCTCAAAATCAATTCTGTGCTACAACATGGTGTGGTTTGAATTTACCTCTTACTTAGTAGAGCAACTTGCTAAATTTAGTTCTTTCCTTGTTTCAGGGTGCTATTCAGAACAGTCTGATAAGTCATACAAATTACTGCCACCAACTCCAAATGCAAAAATCTGAATACATCACTCTGCCTTCACAGGTAAAACTCATGCAGCTCAAAATCAATTCTGTGCCTCTGTGTTTTAATTTGGACCTTGCAGCTATGTAAAGATAATTACTTTATGCTTTGAATAAGCAAATTTTTCACCCTTGGAACTCCCTTCATATTCATTCCTTTTGAAAGGGCATCCAGATGAGGAAAGCTATTTCAGACTGTAGTACTGATACCTTGTCAGAGTGTGTGTATGTATGGTGTTACACACCCATGCTTATGGAATGCAGGGAAATTGAATGTTTCCAATAACAGATTTGGGCTTATTGAACAAGATACTTAAGATTCCACCATTGCTACTAGGAAGAAGTATCCTTAGCAAAAAATAATGTGGTCAGATACAATTCAAATTGGACAACAGGAATCCTCTTGATAACAGGTAAAATTCCAAGCTGCTAAACAATATATTCCATTATCAGAGAAACTGCACTGATTTAAAACATTTAGTATCTTCAACTTAAGTGTAACTGGGGTTACAATTGTGTGAGTTAGAATTAGTTGTACTAGTGGAGACTGTTTTAGCCAGTAGATCCCCTTCAAATTACCAGTCAAGAGAGGTGAATGAAAAAGGGATGGCATGAAATCAGAAGTATTTGACTAACAGCTGTGTATGTCTTTCTTTACCTTAAGCTCATCTGCATCATAGAAGTCTATGCGCACAGCAGGGACCATCCATGTCTGGAACAGAGTTGCCAGGATCTGTTTGGCAATTGCATCTGCGATGAGGTGAAAGTGGAGTGGGTTTCGCCTGATATGAGAAGGGAGAAAAATGCATTAGTTCAAAGGTTTTTCCTAATTCCTGTTGTTAAAAGACAACATCAGAATGTACAAAGCTTTATCTGGGTCTAAGATCTCAAGCTTAAAATGTACAGTCCTGGCCAAACGATCCATGGCCAAAATGCTGCAACACTTACAATTTGAATACACATGACAATGCTAGAAATCCTCGATCAGTTCCTGGCTGGTTGTAAACAAATATAGATCCTTTGACTTCGGTGGAATGTGATTATAACAGTTAAGGATATTGACCCTTCTACTGGCTCCTTAAAAGAAGGCCAAGTCAATTCCCCTTTGGGGACTTGAGCTGTGAACGAGATTGCTTTCAGTTTCTATGTCAACCTGGTAGTTTATCTTTGTGGTAATAGCAGTTGTCTGTGGAGAAGTGGGGGTGGAAGGGAAGGTTAAAAATAATCATTTGAATGAGGTGAAATTCTGGGACCATTGAGTTTGCATAGATCTCTTCTACAAAACACTCTTGGGGAATGAAAATCTGTCCTACAAGAACAGAAAATGAGGTGTTTCAGGTGAGTGCCTTCTAGCTACCTACTGGCACGGTGAAGAGAATGGAGATTGTAAATCTCCCCTCATCCTTGCTCCTAAGAGGGAGTTATGGTTAAAGAAGGGCAGGAAGAAAGAAAACATTTCACTTCAAAGCACCAGATTTGGGTTCACCTCTGTAGTTGCAGGACTTGGAATAGTTGTAAAGCTTCAAAACAAGAGATGAGTGAAGCCAATATCAGCAAGAGTGGCAAGGTGTAACAAAGTGTATGGATTTTCCTATAGTAATTTGAACTTGGACATTCCAAATACCTTGATTAAATCCCTCAGCCGCCTTCTGTCTTTGAGGGAGAGTAAGCAACAAATATTTGATCTTAACTTCTGTGATAGGAGTAGGAAAACCTGCCAGAGGAAGCAAGTCATGAATTGCAGTCTTCTATGTTTAGCCCTAGCTTAGCATCTTTCCCTGTCAGGAGAGAAGGACAGAGTTTGCAAAAGCCACTAAGAAGACACATGGTCTATGTAGACTTCAGCATTGGCTCAACCATTCTTTGATCCCTAGGGTGGAATAGTAGAGTGTCATTTCTATGAAATTTATAAAGCTAAATGGGCGTACTTGTTAAGTGATACTTTTCATCAAAAAAGAGAAGCATTTGGTTTCAGATGTTGATTAAAGTGGAAGAAGACTGATGCTACTGCAATCTTCTGTGTACAAGAAGTGAGGACATCTATGTTAGTTCCATTACACTTTTGGCCTTAACCCAAAAGATGAAGGTTATTTTTTCTCCATTTTCTACATTAATGAGCAATATGTGCCTTCCTCTTTAATGTTTGTCTTCTTGCTTTGATGAGTAATGCTGCTTCCCACTGAACAAAGTCCACAAGAAAATGTAAAAATGCATGTAATGGTTCATAGTGTAACAGACCCATCAGCAGAAACAGGAGATTGCAGTGAGAAGCAATGTATGGCTGGATTCTGCAGTGTTAGAAATAATGCACCTAAGATCATAGAATCATAGAATCACCTGGGTTGGAAAACACCTCCAAGATCATCGAGTCCAACCCTACTGTGGTCACTAGACCATGGCACTAAGTGCCCATTCCAATGCCTGATCACTCACTCCATAAAAAAACTCTTCCTGGTATCTAACCTAAACCTCCCCTGGCAGAGTTTGAGTCTGTGCCCTCTTGTCCTGCTGCTGGTTGCCTGGGAGAAGAGACCAACCCCCACCTGACTACAACCTCTTCTCAGGGAGTTGTAGAGGGTGATAAGGTCTCCCCTGAGCCTCCTCTTCTCCAGGCTGAACACCCCTAGCTCCCTCAGCCTCTCCTCATGGCACTTGTGCTTGAGTCCCTTCACCAGTCTCACTGCTCTTCTCTGGACCTGCTCCAGCACCTCAGTATCCTTCCTGAACTGAGGGGAAACTGAGGGGGAAATCCAACCAACACCCAGGACTGCCAGTGAAGCTACTGTGTTGGCTTCAAGGACACTGTGGATCCCATTATGTGCTTACAGGAAAAACAGAAAAGGGCTGGATGGAAGCCTTATATATGAGATAATCATGATGGCAGAATAAACCCACAGCTGATCTGCATTTAACAATATCCAAAACACTAAGCCACAACATGCTTTCCAAAAAGAAAAAGGTTTTTCAGTCTCCAGCTTGCTCTGGAGGGAGGAGGGGAGAGGGAAAGGCGTAAGCTGCCAGCTGCTGAATGTCCCATTACCAAGCTAAAGGGATCACAGCAATTACATCTGCTTCACTAGCCCAGCAGGAGAGTAGAAGAGGACATCCTGGCTCATGCAGATTCCGCAGTAAGCAGGCACCTTGCCAGGAAAAAATCGGGAAATAGAAGTGATCAGGAAATACATCTCATTAGCAGACAAGGCCAAGAGAAACAAAGTATAACACCAGTGGCTTTGAGCACAGGCAGAGCAGTATCTCAAGACAAATAGATGTTTAATGTCAACATACACATTCCACAACTGCTTATCAGGGGCTGAGTCTGGATTCTGGTAGGACTGTTTCCCAGCTGATTTTCCTCAGTAATTTCTTTTACTTTTTTCCCCAGGGTTATTTATCTATATATTGCAAAGTAGAATAAGGAGACTAAAAAATCAGTCTAAAACAAGAACGTTACGTCTTCTTTCGAACCATCATTTAGTTAAATGGAATTGATACAAAATATATCAAGATGAAACACACAAGTTGAAAAGAAAAGATCTGACACAAAGACACTCAGATGTTCAGTAGCAGTTTATACTTATCTGAATGACCCAGAGTGTATGAAACTTAAATGTGTAAAAGTGGGTGACATTTTCTTCAGTTCATCTCCTACTGGGAAAAAGAAAAAAGGAGTAGTTGTACTCCCACATAGAAATCTCTTTCAAGTTGTTAGCCTCATGGTAAAGATTCAGCTGGAAGGAAAGTATGTGTCAGAGGCAAAGCAGGAGATTATCACTTACAAAAATATATCCCCAAAACAGTATAGTGACCTGATGACATCCACAACTAAATGTGCATCAGCCACAGAAAATTTCACTCCAGACTAGATTTTAGCTCTATAAAATGTGAGGTTTAGCATGGTGCTAGAAGCCAACAGAGCACAGACTCAAAGCTGGAAGACCTTCTGAAGGTTAACAGTACTAGCATACACACAGATGACATCTTTCACCTCTTCTGGTGTCTGCAATATGCAGAGCCTAAAAGATATGGCTTGCTTCAAAGTGATGATGAAACAAGTTTAGAAGCTTAAAGACCAACCAAGATCCATTGTAAAAAATACAGAAGGAATTCTGTAAGATGAGAAATCTTTCTTGAGAGATATGTGAAAGGGATGCCAACTCAGCAACACAATAGAATCACTGACTAAGAATCAGGGGTGACAGTCAGGATATTGTGAAGGATTCCACTGAAAGCTGTACTTCATTAGACTTGAATGTTTTGCTGTACCATTTGGTATCAGTGAAAGCTATCCTTTCCTTCAGACTGGTCTTCTTCCAGGACAGAGACATTTTGGGATATGAGATTTATAAAACTGAAATGAAACTGCACTGCTCCTATGAGGGATAGTCATGTGGAGAGCTATTCTTCACAGGCATCTAGAAGACACGGTTTTAAAATTTTGGGTAAGGCAGGGGGAGATACCAGAGTCTTCCAAGGTAGGCTTGAGAGTACCTCACTTGGGAAACAAGGAGGGGTGGCATGGCCTTTGAAGAAATTCAACGAGCAGCTGAAGACACAGGAGTGTCCTAGTGGAAATTGAGTAGCATGAAACTGCAAAAATATGATGTTGTGGTAAAAGGAAAACCCAACTCCTTTTTGCTGTGAAGGCAGATCAAGTTATTAAAAGTGGTTTCCTGCAATCTCGGGGAAAAACTATGGTTAATGAGATTGCCCAATAGGTTCTTTCCAATTCCCTAAGCCTAATGAGTTCAGTGCAACCCACTTGTTAGGTTGAAGGGAACCTGGAATCAAGTCTTGGAGAAAGTGACAACCAGCATAAGCCTATTCTTCTCTCACTCCACATGGAAGGTGGTGTCCCTTTGACTGCAACTTCTCCAATGAACTCAAAGCACAGCTGTGCATTTTGTACATTTTCAACATGCATATTATCCCATATAATTCACTTTCCACTGGGCACATCAAGACAGCTAAAAAACCACACATGATAGAGGCTCCTTGTATCTTGTACTGCTGGAAATTACTATACTGTAGTTTGTGACTGGGCCTCTCAGTTCAAGAGGAATATTGCAGTGCTGGAGCAGGTCCAGAGAAGAGCAATGAGACTGGTGAAGGGACTCAAGCACAAGTGCCATGAGGAGAGGCTGAGGGAGTTGGAATTGTTTAGCCTGGAGAAGAGGAGGCTCAGGGGAGACCTTATCACCCTCTACAACTCTCTGAAAGGAGGTTGTAGTCAGGTGGGGGTTGGTCTCTTCTCCCAGGCAACCAGCAGCAGGACAAGAGGGCACAGACTCAAGCTCTGCCAGGGGAGGTTTAGGTTAGATATTGGGAAGAGATTTTTTACAGAGAGAGTAATCAGGCATTGGAATGGGCTGCCCAGGGAGGTGGTGGATTCACCGTCCCTGGAGGGTTTCAAGATGAGACTGGATGTGGCACTTAGTGCCATGGTCTAGTAACTCTGGTATAGTTGGACTTGATGATCTTGGAGGGGTTTTCCAACCTGGTTGATTCTATAATTCTATGACATGCACCTATGGAATAATACAGGCCAATATATGACAATTGTGAGAAACGTATCTTACAACACTAACAGGTTCTGGAAAATTCACAGCATTCATGCAGATTACTGCTTTTGGAAATAAAGATTTCTAGTGTACTGGGTTTCTGCACAGGCAACCCTTGAACCCTAAGTGCCAGGTCTTCCAGACTCCTCACGACAGACGCAGGTACGGAAACAGCCAGAGAATTTCTCACAAGGTTCAAAAATACTTAACCTCATTTACCT